CGGGGCGGCGGTGACTGACGGTGCCAGCGTTGCCGGCAGCGGGTGAACGTGACGGTGCGGAGCGGGCTGCCCATGGTGCTGGGGGGCTCGGCCGAGCCCTGCGCCCAGCTACTCGTCTCCTCCATCGGCGTGGTGGGCTCGGCGGAGCAGAACCAGCGGCACAGCGCCCGCTTCTTCGACGTCCTGACGGCGAAGCTGGGCCTCGGCCCCGAGCGGTGAGTGAGGGCCCGGCCCCGGGGCGGCGGCGGCGGCGGCGGCGGCGGGGGGGGGTGTCTCTGCCGCGGCACCTCCTGCGCCCTGAGGGGCGAGGACAGCGTGGCTGCCCCCGGGGGCAGGGAGGGGGAGACCGCCTCTTCCTCAGGTTTCTGTGGTGGGTGGGAAACACAGCGAAGAAAAGTACAGGAAGATGGTCAAAGGGATGATGGTGATGGTGTAGGTTCCCACGTCCTCCGTGAGGTTCAGGTGGAACGTAGAGCCAAGAGTAGATTGCAAACGTTAAGTGCTCTTGGGTGCCGAAGCCCCAGGCAGGCTGTTTAGGTCCAGGTAAAACCATGGACTGCTTTGCGCTTGTTGAACAGTCTGGGAAATACCGTTCTCTGAAGGTGAGTAGTTCCAGTTGGTGTAATTGGCGCAGAACCCCGTGGGAACTGGTGGAGCTTCGCTGTGGGGTCACCATGCCAAATGCTGGAACAGGGCTGTTCCTGAAGGTAAGCCATGTCCCTCTCTGCCCCTCTTCGCCATCTCCCCAAGGAGATTAATAGCATTTCCCTGCCTCTTGCATGCTGTCAGGGTAAATGGCTGACAAGATTACAAGCTGCTTGGGTCCTTCAGAAATGTATCTCGTACAAACAGTGTTGAAATTAGGTCTGCTTTCCAGTTTGTGTGGATGGAGTCTGGCACCTGTTTGTACCCTGCCTGTACACAGCTTATTTTTGCTTCTGTTAAATTAACACTGTGAAGTGTGAGCCAGCGAGAGCTTAGTGCAGATTTTCTACCTTTTTGCAAACTGGGCATAATATTTGTCGTAGTCGTAAAATAATGTTTCCTGTCCACTGCATTTTTGCTTTTATACCCAAAAAAGGATTGTCATCCGCTTTTACCCACTGGAGCCCTGGCAGATTGGCAAGAACAGAACAGTCATGACGTTCCTGTGATCCCTTGAGCGGCCAGTTGGAACAAAGCAATGATGAAGACAACCCAGAGATGATCAGCTCCATCTATCTACTTGTTTCCTCTTATGATCAAATCTGTGTAGCTCTGCACCTTCACCTGTACGATTCACTTTTGTCTTTTCATCCTGTGCACACAAAGCTGAAGAGTGGGGCAATCAGCTATACTGATTTTACTGAAATAGTTCAAGGTCTTTGTCTCAAGCCTGTCTCATAGCCCAAAGGTTCTCCCGGTGCCTATGGCTAAGCCATTGCAGTCTGGTAAATGGCCATATGTGGGTCTAGAAAAAGCTCTCATAGCAGTGAAAAGTTTTAATTCCAGAACATATTTGGCTTTACTGAGGACCAGAGAGGTTCTTGGGTTCATCCAGATTGCCTCGTACTTTGCAAGGCGGAAAGATCCTCTCTCTGGCAGCAGAAGGGTCCCAGGCTGGCTAAGTCAAATTCTTCTCTTTTCAGGCTCCCTAAGAGGCTTTTCTGGAAGGGGATGTGATTATCGGAAGGGAAGTTTATGCATTTATATAATTTTTTATTTAAGGCTTATGTCAGATCTTGTGCTCTGTGCTCTACCATTGCCACCCCTGGTGGCTGCTCCTACAAACTTTTACTTGTCCACAAGATTTTCACAGCTGAATGTTTGTGTGCTGATGGCAGCTTGTAGAGGAGGGAGTTGCTTGTGAAGAATTGTGCTGTGCCACAGGAAAATATTTTGAAGATTCTGCTACTGCCAGCTTTAATTCCTGTTATCCGCCCAATTGTTCAAAATACTTTTCCTCACCCTGCTGTTACAGGGAGTTTTGGGATGACAGAGCATCTCACTGTGTTTGGTGGCTGGTGTTTACAGCTCACTGTCTCTGCAGAGAAATGTTTTGGGTTTTTAGGACCCATATACTCCCTCGCTTTATAACTGGAATACACATGGCATTTTATTAAAACAGAAGCACGGTACTTTTTATGTGTAATGTCATCTTTGCCTTCCACCGGTAATGAAAACATTTATCAGTTTCCTTTCCACTTTGTGACTTGGTCAGGTTGCAGGCAGGGAGCCCAGAGGAACTGAGAGCATGCCTTTGGGACATGGGAATGCAAGGCTGAAGGGTGCTTCTGCGCTCCTTTGTCATTCTGATTAGAGTTTTATTTGATTATGACTTGAGGTCTCAAGATAGTTGAAAATATTCCTTCTAATTACCATTTGAAGTTGGTTGTTCCCTGTGCAGCATAAACATCTTCTATGTTTGCAAAATCTGTCAGGAATATAATACCAAACAAATTCATGTATCAGGCTAGGGGGGACTACACCTTATCTGGTTAATAAAATGTATCAAAGCCTCTTTTGTTAAGTGTCAGTTTATTGGTTTACAACATTGGGGTTTTGTAGGTCTTAGTGCTTGGAGATAGGTATCATGGCTGCCCAGGTCTCTGCATTTTCTCAGGAGGTCTCTTCAACCAGAAGTTTTTGAAACTCAGGTAATGAACAGGTGAGTGAACTGAATCTGAGACACCCATGTAACTCAGGAGTACTCGTTGCAGGGAAGAGCGTGGACAGCCCTGGCTTTGCAAAGGGCTTGACCAACTTGAGGCGAATACTCTGAAATCCAGAAAATAACATCGCTTTAATTCTGATCCGTAGACAGCTCATTTCCTGGAGGTCCTTTTACCCCATGAAGGAACAAGCACAAACTCTTGCCAAAGCCTGTGTTTCCTTTAGAGAAACCCTGCTCTGCCCTGTGCCCCGGCTCTCCTTTTTCGGGCCATGTTTGCCACTGCTAGGCACTACTGCAGGCTCTGTGCCTTCCCCTTGCCCTCGGCTGGTGTGGTGGTGCAGCCCCCCCCGGGGCCACTCTGACATCTCAGGATAAGCCGTGCATGCTTTGGGAAAACCTCCTCTTCTGCTGTTATCATGATTACAAGTGCAGAAGCCTGGCGTTGGGGTGGCCAGGCACCCCCTGGCCACACCTGGGCCATTTGCTGCCTGAATTTTGTATCAGAATGACTCCACACAAATTGTGGCCAAAATGTAAAATAATGACCGAAGCCAATCATCTCGAGACCCTATAAATAGCGATCCAAGGTGAGACCTTTTGAGCTCTCTGAGACCCCAGTGGGCTGTGTGACCCAGTATCTCGCCCTGAGCTGGGACGCCTCTCTGGGTAGATTTCGTGGGGACTTAAAGGCTCGATTTTGTGAGGTTCGCTGACCGTCTGTTGTTGAATGCTGGCACATAAAAGTGAATAATTAAGGAAACTCATGAAAGGGAAATTTTAATCATAGGTTAACCTCTGCGTGTGTGTAGGTAAAATTTGGTTCAAAACAGTTTTATCTGTGTGTGTGCATTTGTGGTTTTGGTTCAGAACTATTTGCCTGTCTCTGTGTGGTTTGGTTCAAAACCATTTTGTGTGTCTGTGTGGTTCAGAACTGTTTTAACTGTCTCTGTGCGTGTGATTTGATTTAACCTCTGTCTGTAAGTTTTGGGTGATCCTTGACATTTTCTAATCTTTAAGTCGCAAATTTAATTGTAACAAATTCCATCCAATCACTCTGTTACATTGGCTGATGATTAAGTACTGTTAAAATTATACAACCTAATCTTGTGATCTATCTCAAAAATGTTAATAAATCCTAAATTGCTGCTAAACCAAAGCCGTGTAACAAAATCTCATTCGTGACACCTGGGAGTGACTTTCCCAGCATTGCAGCGCTGAGCAGGAAGAGATAAGGAAGGAAAGGGAAAGCTTGGAAAAGAGTATGCCACGCAAAGACGTGTGAATAAAATGGGTCCTCAGTGTGACTTTCCCACCCACTTCCATGTTGTGTCTGCCTTCTGGCGTTATCTGACAAAACATCCTAGAATAATGCATAATCATGGCGGAAGTGCTGGGTCAAGGACCATCTAGAAAATTATATGGTTCATGGACTTTGAGCTTTCTTTTATAAGAGCAGTTAAAATATTAATCAAAGGATTGATAATTTGGTTATGAATTGTTTGCACGTTGGTCTGAGGCAATTGATCACTTTTTTGGTGCTGGGGCTTGTCAGCACAGAATGAGATTCAGAGAGTCCTACGAGCTTGTGGCTGGCTGTTTTCCTTCATAAACTGCTGGTGCTGAATATGCTTTTTATGTTAATGTGGATCTGAAGAGATGGCCTATTTTTCCTCCACTGAGCTAATGTTAGAGTAGGTTCGTACAATATTTTAGGGCTCAAGAAGCATACCCTGCAAAGGGGTTATGCAGCCCCATGAAACCCACCCGAGAGCACACACACAGAAACCAACGGAAGCAGGAAACATTTTGTCACATCTCTGTTGCTTGTGTCTCCTAGCTGGAGAAAATCAGGTACGCCACCCTTATCTAAGGCTCAGCAATAATGTTATAAAATCCCTTTCCCTAGAATGCTATGTGCAGATTGTCCCTCTTCCATGGTAAGGAGCCTGCCTCACATCTGGATTTACTATCTGTCAGCTACGGTAGATCTTTTTACCATTGCACTGACTCTGTAACTTCCCAGGTTTAACCTCCTAAGATTGACTAATATTTCTGCTCCCAGAAAGGGCCTCTGTTGGTTTGTTTGAGAACTCTGTGTAGGCATGTTTGCAAATTCAAAGGTAAGGACCTGATTTTGAAAGCTGTGTAACCATTTCCCAGCTTCAAACCTTTGAAGCGAGGACAGTATTTCTGTGTATTTGCACAAGAGGACCAGCGAAGCCCTGAGCATGCTGAAGGGCACTACTGACAGAAGAGTATTACAGAGTCACGGTAGCTTTGGAAGTTATTCTCCAAGCACAACAGTGTGGTGCTGCTGTTCACGGCAACCCTGTTCTTAGTTTGTCAGGACCGAAAGATAGGCTTTATTTTTTTGCACAAATGGGACCCCGGAGTTCACACCTTCACGATGAAAGTTCGTCATGATGGAAGGATGGCCATTATTTTTTCCCATGAACGGGACCCCGGAGTTCACACATTCAGGACGAAGAGGACTCTTCCTTGTAGTGCTAAATGCTGATTGAGTGAAACGCCTGAGCACAAACTTAACTTCACCAGTGTGATGTGACCTGTTGTAACAAGAGGTGGCTTTAAACCTGTGGTTACACCCCACAGACGGAGCAAGGCCCGAGCGTGCCCTTGTCATCCCGTCCGCTCAGAGGCTGTCCTGCCGCTGCGCCCGCACCAGGCGGCCTCCGTCGGGCGGCAGATGGTGTAGCGCTCGCCGCATATCAAGGTGCCACGATTAGATCACTGATCAACCCCAGACCAGGGAAAGAGACAGATAACACACACAGTGTGAGCACCAACTTCCGCCTTTTATTGCGCAGTCAGTTCCTTTTATACTAACAAGGGTAGGCGGGATCACAGATACATCACAAGGCTGCGACTAGCCCTCTAACTTTCCGTGACATCGCGAGATCTTCCGAACGCCGAACCCTACAGATGGCACGCCTTTTCTTCAAGACTCGCTGCGGTATGATCACCTTGCATTTAAATAAAACTATGTCCACCGGGAGCCGTCGCGGTTACTGCCTGCCTTGAGTCGCTGCCTCACGTTGTCCCGCTGCCAGCCCACAGAAACATCCCCCCCCCCCCCCACCTCCCAGGGGCATAAAATCATGTTCCTATCTCCGTGGCTAGCACCACGGCAAGTTTTAGCGAAAACCAGTAACTCCGGGATAATTTCCACACCCAGCGGAAAGAGCATCGGGAATTTATTGAAGCTTTTCCCCACACAAGCCACACAGGCACAGGCCTCGACGCCTGACAGACCCGGCTCTAACCGCAGCCTCGCCCTCCCGCCCCTCCGCGCCTGCCCGTCCCCAGCGTTCCGATTGGCTGTCTGCGGAACGGCCTCTCCGCCAATGAGCAACGTCTTTATTGGCGCGCGGGGCTCCGGGGGGTTCGGAGGAGGTTGTCGTCTCCGGGGAACCGCCGCTCGCCTGAGGGAGCCGCTCCGGGAGCCCCGCGGCGGTCGCTCCCCGCCGGCCGGGAGCAGCGCCGGCATCCCGGGGGCGGCCCTGCGAGGTGAGTGTCCCGTCCGCCTCAGCCCGGTGGCAGGCGCCGGCGGGGCCGCCGGGGCTTTGGCCTTGCCCCCGGGCAGGGCGCCGGTGAGGGCTGCGAGAGCCCGGCCTGAGGCGGCGGGTCGTCGGCTGGTCCCCTTCACGGAGCCACCGGGAGAGGGGGGCGGGGGCTCCCTCCCCCGCCTGCTCCCGGCCCTTTGTGCCAGCCTCCGGGAAGAGCAGCGTGAGAGGCGTCCCCGCTCCTCTTTGCGGAAAGTGACCGTATTTCGGTAAAAACGGCTTTTGCTAAAATGCGGTCGGTGGCGATCTTGGCAGTGTTAAAAACAAAAAGCCAAAACAACCCCAAAATCAAGTGTTTTTTTTTTTTAAACGAACGTGTATTTGCAGTGTACGGATTCCAAGTGTAGCAACAACAACAAAAGCCAGGAAAGCCCAAGTCACTCCCTTTGTTTCTTATTCTGAAGTTGAGAATCACACAAGCAGTGGGAACCGGAGCTGACGTTTGAGATTTTTACTTAAGTAGTTTTAAACTACTGAGGTAAAAGAGAAAAGATTTTGAAGGCAAAAGGCTTTAAAGAGGTATTGTTGCCTTTTGAGGATGTGCTCCCCTGTCATAGCCACAGATTTATAGCTGAGACACTCTTGTAACTGAAACAATTCAAACCGATTTGTAATACTTTTTATTAAAGACTAATTCTTTTTTTCCTGCCTAATTGATGCAGCTATGTTGCTCTGAAAGTGCTTGTAGTGACATACTTAATTCCTAGATGTTATGACACTGTTGTAACTCAGTCCACAGTTAGGTTTATAGCCGTGTACAGCGCCTGGTTAAAAAAAATAAAATGAAACAACCCCCCCACCTGCCTGACACACCCGTATAAAAGCTGTGCAGAGGCAATATCCTTGTCCTGTTTTTTCAAAAGCGTTACATTGTTCTGTTCGGTTATGCTGTCTCAACTTGTGAACACCAGAGAGGAGAGGTGCTAAATATTTGTTACAAACTTTCTGTAAAAATAAAATGTAGAGTTAAAATTGTTTCCCCACCTTTTCCGTAGTTGCAGTTTCACTGGCAGTGTAACCACGGAAGTAAACTCTTGACTGTAGTCTCTCTCCTGTTGACTTCCTCTGCCATCTTGAGCAAGATTATGTGGATTCAGCAAAAGACTTGAGCATATCTCTGAATATAGGCATATTTGTAAGTGAACTTAAAAAGACTTGATTTACATTTGTAATTGATTTGGGATCATGCAGTCTTATTTATTTAGATGTCATAAGCATCAGCGCTTTCTGTTAAAACCTGCAGCGTTCAATATTTCTGAAAGAGATAACCATTACTCTCTGTGCATATATTTTATCCATATGCAAAGTGGACAAAGAATCCTTGTCTTGAAAGAGAGTTGAGGTTTTATTAATGTTTATTTAGTGACTTAAAGAGAAAAATGCTTTATTGCTGTGCAGTTGTCAGTCTGATTTAGCTGCAAGCAAGGAAAGTAAGTGGTGCATGGGCAAGCAAAATATCATTGCTGAATGAATGAAATTCCTGTCAAAGCATTATTTTCTCTACATGCAGAACTAATCACCATGATGTCTAAGTCAATTCAGCTTATAGTTCAAAACTCCCACTGCTTCCTGCTGTGGTTAATTCTGGACTTATTCTTCTATTAATGTGGTCTCCAATATTAAAGACACTTTTTAGCCTGTCTTGTATGTGTCATCTTTTTGTTTGAATTGATGGGGAGGTTTTATCACGTAGCAGTGAAGCTTTTCTAAAACAGCAGCACAGAACTCTTTCATATTTCTTGCCTTTACTAATATAATGTTTCAGGCAGTTAATAGAATATAAATTCTGGGTTTAGTTATGAGGAGAAATGACTTGCAGATTATAAATGTATATTTTTGCCTTCAAACTTTTCATCAGTGGTAAAAAGACTGGAAATATTAGTATCCTTCCTTCAGAATGAAGAAATACTAGTTAGTAAAAGTTGAGGTTCTTTTGTTTGCATAAATTTAATAGATCTAAGTGCATATGCAGTAGCTATAACTTGCTTTTGCATTAGAAGTAGTCTGTAGAAGTTGGTCAGCATAGTTGGAAAAGACAACTCTGTTATAAACACTGGTTCTGTTCTAGCAGGGATAGCAGTAATGAAAACATTTTTAATTAGAGGAATTTCCAGGCGCAGACAATATTTTGAGCAATGGGTTGACTAGCCACTCTGGCCTGCTGCAAGGTCAATCTGACACAGATAACCTTCATTTTTTTTCTTTTTCTGTTCTGTAAATATCCATTAAGTGCTGTGGTTTCTAGACATGAGAGAGCACTCTGGTTTGTGCTATAGTTAAGAGGTGCGGAAAACTCCCCCCCCCCCTTTTTTTTTTAAAGGAACTGAAGATAAACTCATAAGCTATAATGATTCATGCTCATAAAATGTCAGAGTATTCAAGAAGCTTTTTTGGTTTTAGCTTTTGTCATTAAAGGGATTAATGTTGTAATGTTGTTAATATAATGTATGTTCATAAAATATTATACAGCAACTGAATAACCTTATAGCTGTAATTACATTGCCAATACTTATACTCCCCCTCTCACTGCCGGGACTAGAGTCTTGAAAGCCATCCTGAAGTAATGGATGTGCTTAACTTCATATTTTATTCTCTGTTTCTAGTTAAAATTCAGTTCAATGTTATTGTTCCTATGTGGTAGGGCAATTTATCTCTTGGCATGGGGTGGTGGTGACATAGGACAGTTAATTGGTTATTGATTAAATTATTCCCAGCCTGTCTTTTACTTCTGAATGCTTTCTTTATGGACAGAATAAATACTCTAATCCTGTTTGCTTTCCAGACCTGTTTGTGTTAGGCCCTTCCTCCTAGTCCTGGAGAAAGACAGCATCAATAGCTGTGAGCATGGTAAGGGCTTATTGAGATGGTTTTAGAGATGTTTTGGTAGAAATAAAATAGAAAAATTTCTCTTTCCCTGCGACTAAGAATAAATTAGCCTAATGAGAACTTTATTTGTGGAGTGACTGTAGTTATTGATAAATTTAAGAATTTGAAAAAATTCACTGTAATGCACATGTCTGTTCTAGGGAAGCTGTTGCTTGCAAGACACTTGAAATTTTGTTTTTTCATCTGATTTTGGGGGGGGGATTGTTTTGATATTTTATTGTTTGCAATTAGTGATGACTAAATTCATTAGAGTTCTTGTAACTTTATGTAGAGATCGCTCAGTATTGTCCATTTACCAAATAAAGTTAAAAAAAAAAAAAAAAGAGAAAAATCCAGTTTGCAAAGGAAACTGCGACACATGTAGATGTAACATTTATTGTCCCACCTTGACTGTCATTCTAGATTCGAATCGCAGCACTGAATGCCAGCTCCACGATTGAGGATGACTACGAAGGTACCTTCAAAAGTCATAAGACACAGACAAAGGAAGCTCAAGTAAGTAAGCCTGCCGTTTTCTTAATGAAGCTTTGTCTTGACGGGAGTTTTGTCCTCTCATTGCAGGGATCGTTCAGCCATAATTCTTTGTTTTTAAGAAAGTTGTGTTACTGTCTTATCTCTTGAACCCTCCTTTAGCAAGCTAAAACTTCACTCAAATGAGTTATATTAGGTCGGTAAGGCTAATACTCTGCTGTACAGTCTGGATGTGGACTGCTATATAGCAGAAAGTATTGAAAGTGTGAAACCACTGATACTCATAATAAATATATTGTAATAAGTATATTTAATAAAGTTGCCCTACAAAATAGGTTCTAATTTTTTAAACCACAGGAAGCAGAAGCTTTTGCTTTGTACCACAAAGCTTTAGACCTTCAGAAACATGACCGATTTGAAGAGTCTGCTAAAGCTTATCATGAGCTGCTTGAGATTCGTCTTCTGCGAGAGGTCAGTGACCTTTAGAGAATGAAACTCTAGAAACTATTTTTATTTTATTTTGTATTACTTCATTTCTTATTGGCTAATTAGAAATGTCAGTGTTCAATTGGCAAGTTGTTTGCTGTTCTTCTTACTTGTCTAATTCCTAATGCCCCTGTTGCATTTATTTTATCATTTCTAGGCAGTTCTTTCTGGTGATGAGAAAGAAGGGCTGAAACATCCAGGCTTGATGTTAAAATATTCCACCTATAAAAACTTAGCACAACTGGCAGCACAACGGGATGACTTAGAGACAGCCATGGAGTTTTACTTGGAGGTACAGTACAGCTGAAATAAAACACTGGGACCTCAGTGTTTTCAAAAACTTGCCAAAATACAGATGTACGCCTTTCAGCATATATCATTTGAATGTGTACTTTCTGACATTATATGTGATATAACTGGTCCACCATTCAGTCCCCAAATCAGAACCCTGCTGAAAACTAAAGCAGTGCCAATCCCTATAGACAAGTGGCTGTGCCTGTCTGAAATGTGAATAACGTTGTTTGTTATGCTTTCTAGGCTGTAATGCTAGACTCTACTGATGTCAACCTATGGTATAAAATTGGTTGTGTGGCGATAAAACTAATCCGCCTACCTTTGGCTCGTCATGCTTTTGAAGAAGGTCTCAGGTGTAATCCTGATCACTGGCCTTGTTTAGATAACCTTATCACAATCTTATACACACTCAGTGACTACACAAGTAAGTACAGTACAGCAAAAAAAAAATCTCAAGATATGTGTAATTTTACGTATCAGTGAAAAATTGTAACAATGCAATCATATAGGAGAAAGTGTATCTTGCATAAGCAGTACATCAGGGTATGATAGAGACTTTTATTTCATGATAGAGATTTTTTTATTTCATGATAAAGTAGAATGGTTTGTATCAGTTCTGGTTACCCTAAAAATCAGTGCCTCTTAGATCAGAGCCTCAGCAAGAAGTTTCCCTGTAGACTGTTCTCTTGCCTTTCAATGTATGTTAATTTTGTCTTTCTAGTCATTGCCAGCCACATAGTTCCACATGGTTTGGGTATAAAACTACAGTCTAGTTCATAGTAGTACGATTAGCTGTAGTTACAGCAGTTGATACAACTGACCCTAAGAATTTACATATGAGTAGTAACCAGTGGATGAACTGATTCAAAGGAAGTTAGGAGAGAAGTTGCAAGGTGGCAGAAATGTCGAATCTGATCCCTTAGGTTTGTCCTACTGGAATGATCCTAATTCTCTTCACGTAATTACCCACGTGAGCAAAAACCTGGTGGAATACATTCCTTGTTACACTAATGGAATCTGTAGTTAAGACATTTGGTAACATGAAAATGGTATATGATTGTGATTCTGCTTTATGATTCTAATTTCTTTTGTGCAGGAATGGAGTCTTGAAAGTAAATAAAAGATGTACTGCAAACGTTTAAACAAAATTAGTGGTATTCTTTTTCTGGATATAATACTTGGGAAGACATAATAGGTTATTTTAACTGTATGTGTGTAATTATTTGACATGTTACAAAGCTATTGCTCTAAGTTATGTAAATGTCATATTTAGTTGGAATTTGTTGTATATGAAGCCCAGAAGTGGGAGCTTTTGAATGAACCAAAATGGCGATTGACCATTCAATTTCTATTTCTCTGTCAGCATGTTTGTACTTTATCTGCAAAGCTCTGGAAAAAGACTGTCTATATAGCAAAGGATTGGTTCTGAAGGAGAAGATCTTTGAGGAGCAGCCTTGCCTCCGGAAAGATTCCTTAAGGATGTTTCTCAAATGGTGAATGTCATCTTATAGTACATACTGCATTTGGAGTGTAAATTTGGGGTTTTGGGTAGTTCAGAAAAGCTGGTGAGATACAATGCTTTAAGCTATAATAATATCTTGCTGACTTGCCTTCTAAATAATAAATCACTGTGAAGTATTGGTGCTGCTGACAGAATGTTCTTCAGTAATTACTTTTGGAGGGAGGTAGAAAGAGGCAAAAAATCCATTGGCTGCTGCTCACTTATTTTCATACCAAGATCTCTTGTAGTCATCTTCCTTTGTTTTATTTTACTTATTTGCAGCTGATATCTGCAGCATTCATTTTAGTTTTCCTAATTAAAAACCTCAAACAAACAAACAAAAAATCCAACCCCAAAACCCACATGTTACTGCTTTTCCAAGTAGTTACATATTTGGGACTTGATACAATTTTCTCATATCAGTACGTTTCAGTAAGTCTTACTGATTTTTATTGACAAATGAGTACGGTCAGAAGACACTGTTTGTTTCATTAGTACCCAAGATGCAGAAATTCTTAGTTTATTAAGCTTTCAGACCACTGTAACTCTGAAAATATTTTGCAATATTATGCTTGAGATTTTAGTCCTTTATTATTACATTTTTTTATTGCAGGCTGTAAAACTTTTAGTAAAAGCTTGGTGTCAGGTAGCTCTGCAAAGTGGACTGTCTCTTTCTGTGTGGGTTTTGTAGTATGAGTGGGTAGGAGGAAAGGGAGAAAAGAAGGTAGAGGCCTGTAAGATTCACAGGATCTGACTTAAGTTAACAGACCATTCAGCATCAGAGCTGCTTCTTATACTGTAATATGTTGCTGTGATGGTTAGCAGAAGTCAAGAAAGTTAAGTTTTTAGTTTAATTATAGTTCAGTCTCACTGAATAGTAATTGCTGCATGTGCAGATAACATCAGTACCCTATATAAGTTGTATGTAGTAAATGGAAGTGGAATGTGCATCTTGGCATGCATCCTTAAGTTATGCAATAAATCAGTCAAAAACATGTTTAACATTTTTGACTACTATACTCTTAACATCTAAAATGTGAAAGTACAGAGTATTTAGAAGATATTAGAAGAGAAAGGATAACTTAAATTTTAAGGCTCTAGGATTCTAAGTATAGCAGTAGACCTCTAACAGAAAGTCCTGTTTAGTTATTAAGCTGCCTTAGGTCTGGCTCTTAAACGAGTTACATGCTGAATTAAGCCAGGGTTCTTAGCCACTTGTTTTTTGTTTCTGGATTGTGATACCTCTGAAAAAGTGGATTATTTTTCACTTTAAAAAATTCCTTCCAAGATTCAGACTATACAAATCTGTGATGACATGAATTCCTCAAAATAGCACTTTGGAATGAAAGGGATTTCTCAGCCATACCATTTTTTTTCTGAACCAAAAACTTCTGTCCCAGAAAGAAAACAAAACCTCCTGCTTTCCTTTCATTTCTAAGTGTTTGGAAAATGGAATAGGACAATCTCCCTTTATCTTTTAATTTTTAAGGCAGAACAACGATTTCGGATGGTGAACGCTTCTATATGCATGCTATAAAGTTTGTAAAATAATGTTATTTGAGTGCTTGTTTTAACACTGCTTATTTTTGTTACCGTATAGGAAGATATCAAATGAATCTCCCCAGGCTTTAAAAAAACCAAAACAACAAAAAACCAACCAACAAACAAAAACTTTAACTTGTCTTCATTTCTTATTATTTCGTAGTGACATGTCTGTCCATAATGTAAATGTGAGTGCAGCTGAAACAGGAAGAATCATAGACGAAGCACTGGAGTTACGTAAGAAAAGACAAGCTTTGCTAGTGCGTGACAGAGAACCAGACCTCAGACTGGTCCAGCCAATTCCCTTTTTCACGTATGTCTTTATATTTTCTCTTTTTAAAAGGTTTCTCTGAAGCCACTTATGCTGACAACTGTGTTGCACTTCAAATTTCTTCAGAAGGCTTTTTTTTTTTCTTGTAGAAATAAGCAAACAAACAAACCAACCCCCCAGTGTTTTCATATTTTGTGAGTTTATAGGTTGGTTTGGTGTGCTTACGATTTTAGCATAAACCCTATATCTATCAGTTTTCAACCTTTGAATTAAAACCAGTGATGAAAAAAAAAAATCTTAACTAAGAATGATTTGGCAGCCATTCTAGGTGTATTACTGGATTTTTCATATATGACTAGTTTGCATATGAACTTCAAAGTAAGTTTAGCTTTTTAAAAGTTGTTTTTACTATTGGGATAATAGCAACTCGGAAACAAATTACAGTTCTTTATTTGCAGAAAGAAATAAGGATTCTAATAAGTTGTTATATATTATGTCTTTATTAAGGCGTAAAGGATTGGGGTTTGGTTTGGTGTTTTTATTGCACATATTCTTCTGGAATATTAATGGACTCTGCAGGTAGATCCTGTTGTAGAGAAGTTGCTTCTACTTGTGGATAAAGGTGAGATCTGTTGTTGATTGAATGCAGAACCTGAAAATGGTTCCTTTGACACTGCTGTTTTTTAGGATTCAGTATAGAGTAATTTCCTCAATAACTACTGCATAGACCTTTTCTTATTAGAGACATTTTTTGAGATTAGGCACATAATTGATTCCCATTTCCTTCCTACAGCAGCCAACTCACCAGTTTCCTCTGAAAACTTTAGCCTGCTGCCACAGTTTGTTCTTGTTTTTCTAAGTGGTGTATTCTGAAGAAAAGTATCCAAGGACCTCTGTTCCAGGCCTGAAATTGTCAATGGTCCACAGGAAATACAGAAAATTACTCTCCAGCTTTTCTAGTTGTGGGGCAGATTTTGACACTCCAAGGTGTATTCTTCTCCCACTGAAAAGCTGCTCTTATCACCTCTCAAGCTATAGGAGAAAAACAATGTTGAATGCTGTTAGGTTTGTAAATATAATTTAGAAAATAATGCGACGAGAATTGATGGAGTTGTGATGCCATTGTGTTTCCACATGCAGGTGGAAGTGTTTAGGAGAAGCTTTACTTGCCATGTATCACCACCTCACCACATGTGATCCTCCTCGACCCAGTCTGGGAAAGAGAATTGATCTCTCGGAATACCGAGACCCAGTTCAACATTTGATTCTTTCTCCTACTTCTACTCCTGTCAGTGTTATTCAGCCAACTCCTGTCAGCACTAATCCGGTGGTGACAATGCCAGATCCTGTATTACCTTACACTCCAACAACACCCAACTTTCCAAGTCACAGTCAGAATTCATTGGAACCAGGAGCTACTGTAGGTGAGCAAGGTACTTCAGTCTAAGATTCAAGATATCTTTCCTACTTATCTGGGTATTAAAAACACTGCAGAACTCATTGGGGAATGCTGTCTTTAAACTGCATGTTGGTGGATTCAGAACCTTTTTGGCATATGTATAACATCTCTTAGAAAAAGTGAAGTTGAGCTCTATAAAATTAAGTTCTGTTAACCCTTTACATTAGAAAAGGAAGGCCACCTAAACTGCCTGAAAATCATTGATTCCTGACTAAGACATAAGACCAGTGTTCAGGACAATGGACTTACTTTCCTATCTAATGGAATTGAGAGAGTTTGATTTGTTGTTCTTGTTGCTCCAGTGCAGGAGTATCTAACCTTTTCTGGTTTTGTGCTATTGACTCATGCTTCAGTTTTTCAGTCTTTAAGATTAGAAGAATCATGACTCTATTCCAACAGTGATGCATATCAAGCTTTTAATGTTGTGAAGAGTCTTGAGCTCCTTAGAATGAATGAGCTGTTATAGAAAAAGATGACTGGATTATTCTCTGCTCATGTGTTACTTTAAGAACCTGAGAGAAGTAAGCTGTCAGCTCTATTTATCTGAAATCTGTAGCAAGAGGTTTGAATATTTTATACTGTCGCTGTATAAGTATTTACATATCTAAAACTATCAAGGAGTTTCCAGTATTTTGTTGATATTCATGGAAATTTACAGGTGTTAGTGAAGCTAAAGGTAGACTGCTCTGATTCCCATTTCAGAAACTTCTTGAAGGCTAAACTAATGAATTCTAATGAATAATGAAATGCAGAATTTTCAGTAAGTCTGCTTCTTGCCTCAGACCAGCATTTTTCTGCAAAATGAGATAGCCGGTTTATATTAAAGAGAATTTTTTAATTATTTTAAAATTTTTTTGCACTGTCTTAGAAGGAAACCAATGAATCTCAAGTATTGCTGTAGAATAAAGTGTCAGCCACAAATAAATTTTTTTTAATAAAAAAATAATCCATTTATTGTTTGGCAATTTAACCTGTCAGTATTTTTTTTTTTTTTTTTTAAATTCTACTTCTAGGTGACATATCTGCAGGTGATAAATCTAAGAAAGGTGTGAAGCGAAGGAGAATTACAGAAGATAGTGGTGAAACAGCAAAAAGGAGATCTGCTAGAGTCCGGAACACCAAGTGTAAAAAAGAGGAGAAGGTTGACTTTCAAGAGCTGTTGGTGAAATTCCTTCCTTCCAGGTACTGTACAGCAGTAACTTTCATTATGAGAATTTCAAGAGCTAAGTAGAGGAAGCTGTTTGGGCTTTTGTTTGATTGATATGCCCCAACCTTAAAACCAGTAAACCCATGTTATTCTTTGAAGCACATGTGATATGTTGTCTTCTCATAAATTTAATAAAATTGGGTTTAGTGAAAATTACTAAAAACTAATTGAAAAATAAGAAAGCTTTTATTAACATGAAACTGAATTAGAGGACAATGCAGATGTCAAAATGCATAAGGTAAACGAAGAAGGTAATCTTGGCTTGGACAAAATATAGGGACTGGATGTAAATCTCTGAATTTGCTTCAGTTAATGTACTTTCACTGTTAAAATATGCACAACATGCCATGTTTAGGTTTCACTTACTAGTGAAAGAAAGAATGAGGATTTTGTTGATATTGTGGGTTTTGCCTCCCCCTTTCGCACAGATTAAGGAAATTAGATCCAGAGGAGGAGGAGGATCCTTTCAATAACTATGAGGTACAGTCAGAGATCAAAGAGGAGAATTTCCAGCATGTTGGACCACATAGAATGTCATTTGATTCTACAACTTTTATGGAATCTGGTAGGGATTTCATTATAAGCCTCACTCTTTCTCTGTTGTTTCTTCCGTATTGCGTGCTTTATTTTCTGTGTTTTCCTATCATATCTAGAAAATACAGAAGTATATGCTATTTTAAAAAGTATAATTTTATGGCATAGAAATATCTTGGTAACAGGTTTGTGGTTTTTGTTTTTTTTTTTTTTTTTTTTAAAAAGTCTTGGGGACTGCTTAATTACTGTGTGCAAGAGCTCAATTGTGTGGAGCTTCCCATTTAAACAGACTGGAATACATTAACTTAATTCTGCATGTACGCAGCACAGGAGAACTGTGGCAAGATTAGTGCATAAAACACTGTTGAGACTTAATTGTTTCAAGTTATGGTCTGCCTTGACCTTAAACACGTATGGCTTTGTGTCTATCTGCTTTTTTCTAGAAAAGCAGGACGTTCATGAATTCCTGCTGGATAACCTGAACAATGGTGGGATCTTGGAGCTGATGATGAGATATCTAAAAGTCATCAGCCAAAAGTTCCTAGTGAAGTGGCCTCCTGGCTTGTGTGAGGTGGTTCTTAGTATCTATAATAGCTGGAGAAAGCATAGTAGTAGTCTTCCCAATCCGTTACTGAGGGACTCAAGTAATCAGCATATCAAGGTAATGAAACACTTTTCCTTATACTTCTGTTTGCTGCTGTGTTGCTCTCTGTGCACCAAGAGTACCTAATTGAAATCTAACAATAAGACCCAGATTTCACTTAGCTCTCTCTGGGGAGCTGCTTGTCCTAGCTGTTGCATCTTTCAGAAACTGGTATACTGCAGCTTGCCTAACTGTTTGTTCCTGAGCTCCTGAACATATCTGGGTGATGCTACATGCAAGTATACCCTATACATAATATCTGTGTGTGAATATATGTACACATGCATATAGATGTAATATAAATACTATAGACATAAATATATTTTACTCCTTTACTCTGTTGTTGCTCTTTCTTCCCTCCCTTGGCTCCTGATATGACACAAAGTTTTGTTTTGTCATCAGGTGAGTAGAGAGGCTGCTTTGTTCACACTGGCTGATTGAGTGTCAGCATTTCTGCTCTAAATAGAGTAAATACAGTTTAAATAACCTGCAATTTACAGTAAAAAAAACCCAAACAAACCAAAACCAATTCCACCCCCCCAGCATCACCGTTTTATTACCTTTATAAATCTGTAGATTTCACAAATACAAATGGAAAAAATGGTAAGTTTGTTAAATTAGTGTTAAACTGGCTTAGTGACACAAGATGATACTTCTTGAATTAAAAACTAGTACTGATACGTCTTGTCCACTGAGCCTACCTATGTTAGCAATGCTTTTCAATGTTAGCAATGTGTATTCATTTGGAAAGTTATTTGCCTTTGGTATGACTGCAGTTTGAAATATTTTTTTTCAGCTCAACTGTGTTTCTACTTTTTTGCAAATGAAAAAAGAATTCTGAAAACTATGTTCCATTGACTTAGTTTACAAAACAAAGTATTGCTATGTAGCAGCTGTTAAATTTTTTATATATCCTGTGGCTTTTGTATTTCTGTATATTTTTCAAACCACATACCCTTTTTTAAACAAATGTAAATATATTTATAAATGTATTCCCTTGGTTCTCATTATGACTGCGTAACTGCTTGCTTGTATGTAAAATTTAAAAAGTCAAGAATTTGTAGCTATACAATAGCTATGCAATACAAACAGCACTGTCCTCATGCTTGTTTATTCTTTTTCATCCTTGAATTTATTTTAAACTTGATCTGCAAGCTATCCTGAGTGTAATCAATACAGGTTTTTAAGGTTGTAAAAGGCTATTCTGGTAATGTGTATGGACTTTTGAACCTTTTCACAAGCACCTGTTTTATACAGCTGGACCCGTAGCCCTTATTCGTATCAATTTAATCAGAAAGTAGTATATTCTTCACTGCACAAAACTACCTGGCAGAGATCCATGGTGATGTGATTTTTAATATATTCCTGAACTTTATCCAGCAAGCATTAATAAGCTGGTAAGACTAGAGTACATACTTGGTCTCACGGAGTTAAATACTGAAAAAATTATAGGATATAGACTTTTTATTTCTCAAGTATCAGTACTTCTACTATATTCTGGAAGCATGCTTTTAGCATGATTTAGCAATTTAATATAGTTTTCTTTCAGCTGGATACAAAATTAAGGATGTCACTTCTTTCTAACATCAGGCAATGCTGTTCTGACTACCTTCTTTTATGAGCTGAGATTTTTTTTTTATGCTTCTTCTAAGTATTGTTTTATTTTTTACGTGTTGATTTGTAAATGCTATTATACACCTTAAGACAGAGGAAAAATTAGTTATACCTTGGGAACAGAAATCCCAAGAGGACAAGTTGAAGGTTTTCTTTGAAGTAAATTGCAAATTTAGTGGTAGGTTTTTGTATTCTTCTTTTAATGTGTTTCTTCCTGTATACTCTTTTTTGCTATCTCCATACTTTTTCTGAAGGATATGATGTTGATGAGCCTTTCTTGCATGGAACTGCAATTGGATCAGTGGCTACTGACAAAAGGGAAGAGTTCTACAGGTGAGAACTGGGTGTTACTTTCTTCAGACTCTAAACACTCAAAGTATATGAAGAAATGTTTCCAGGAATTCATTGGATTTTGAAGCTATTTTTTCTTAAGGAATATCTTTCAGATCTGTATTTTATTGGCCTATCAGTTGTTTGCCTTAAAGTAGATCAGTACTTTTGAAATACTATTATGTGGGGCTCTTTTCATGGGGTGCCAGCAACTTTATGATAAAATGTAATTAATTGATTTGCAGTTTCTCCACGAAATTGCCCTGCTGCCTCTGTGAATGGAAAGTTTGGTCCTGACTTCCCAGGAACTCATTTCTTGGGAGACCTGTTGCAGCTGTCATTTGCATCCTCACAGCGAGATTTATTTGATGAAGGCTGGATGGAGTTTGTCACTCGGGTGTATTGGCTGAAAGCTCGCTTTCTAGCACTGCAGGTTTGTTTTGATTTAATAAATAAAAATTTTCCCAAATTAAAATCAATGTTGTTCAGAGATGCTACAGCTGATTTGGGAATCTCAGCTCATTTAAGCATGTGGATAAAATCAACTCAAAACATAGTGATTTCATTTTACTTTTTAATATAATTAACTATCCCTAAGGATAGAGGTGGAAATTAAGTAGGAAGTCTCACATGCTAAGCTGATATTCAGATATATTTAATATGTAAGTCTTGGTTTATATTAGCTCATGTTCAGCTTAAAAAAGCATATTTGAACTGAAGTTGTTTGGAGTAGTATTGTGTAACTGCAGAACATGGATTTTTTGGGCCTCACACTAGTGGATACTACCAAAGTCCCAGACAGTCCAAAATGCAGCTTTCAACTGAAGCAGACTGTATGTTTAAGTACTCTCCCCTCTGCTTTTTCAAGGTAGCATGATTCTTCTTTTGGAGACGTTTAATTCAATATGCAGATTTTGAAGCAGAGGGTTTTAAACCTATCTCTAAGGGAATAATCTGAAAGAAATGTTATTTGATCCCAGACCTTTTTTTCTCTCCAAGTGTTGCTTCCTCAGGACATCAGGGTTTGTTTATGCATCAATCATGTTTAAGTCAATTGTTGACTAATAATGTGAGTCAGTTTTGTAAGTGTGAACTAACCAGTTCCTTCCATTTTTATTTTTTTCTTCTAAGGATTCCTTTCTGATAAACTTACTTGAGGAAAAATGAGAGTTCCTATATGGCTACTGCCATTTTTTCTTTAGATACACAGAGTAACATTCTGCCTGTGCAGCTTGCATTCCTCTCCTGACCACTCAGCTTCAGTATCTACTCCAGTTGGACAGAGCGAGTAGAATGCATTCACTTTGCAGAATATAAGAATGTTTCTTGACTCAGTGTTTTTATTTGCACAAATGGAAGAGTTATTTCTACTGTTTTACTCTTCCATGTTTTTAAAGTAAAGGCATTTTGGCAATCCAAATTAATCTTTCAGATTTATGCAAGCTGAATTCTATTTCTCTGATTTGTTTTACCTGTTATTAAAGTCACTGGTAAGATGTATTGGGTTTTTTGGGGTTGTTTTTTTTTTTAAATTGAGATTATGAACTGGAATTGGTTTTTATTTGGGAGGATGTGCATTAATCACACTAGCAGTGCTTGCACTGAATTTGAACATTTTCTACACGCTTTAAAAAGCCGTGTTGCAGACAGAACTGTAGGGTTTTTTGTTTGTTTTCCCCTGTACTGTTTCTGTAGGGAGACATGGAACAGGCACTTGAAAACTATGATATCTGCACTGAAATGCTACAGAGCTCCACTACAATGCAAGCTAAAGCTGGCAATGAATGCAGCATTGTAATACGGTTACCTAATCTACATGTTGATTCTGTTGTTTCTTTAGAAGAGGTAAGAATTAATTTGTAGGTGTGTTCTTCCCACTCCACCCCCCCCAGTTTTCATGGTCATCTATGAATTAGCTCTTTTGTGATGGAAGTTTACCATACCTGTCCTAGAATTTTTCTAAGACCAAAAGGACAGGTTCATAGTTTAATGATGATGTCAAGGCCATCATCTCCTTTTCAAAAAGACACCTTTTGGATCTGTTGGTCCTGTACAACTTAAGATTGCTTTTATGCAAAATAAAAATATTAGCAGCTACATGTAGAATGGTAGATTATTAGATTAGTGTTTCATTTTCTGTTTCAGCTTTGCTTAAATGAGCTCTTTACTTCAGCAGTCTGTTTTCCACATAACAATTTCCATACACTTTTAAACAAAGGGATGTCCGTCTTCTATTCTTTCTGTTGCTGTTTTGGGGGATGAACTCCAACACAGGAGGTGTCATCTTCACTTTGAAGTCCATCTGATGGATGTATTCTTGCAGTACAGAAATGTGTGATTTTGGGATTTGAGGCAAAAAAGTTTAAAATCATTATAGTACTGAAGTCATATACTATATAATAATTAAAAATCTGTGGAACGGATGGAGTGTTACGTAGTAGGTGTCTTCTTCCTGGTTTATATTCCTGGATGTAGCTGTAGAGTTCACATAGCTTTACAGCTAAACTGCTAGGAGAAATGGCAGTAGTCAAATGTATATGAAGACAAAATGAAAGTTGGATTGTACCACCTGTGATGTTTGCAGATTGAAAAGAACCTAAAATCTCTGGAGAGATGTCAGTCTTTGGAAGAGATTCAGCGACTGTATGAGGCAGGGGATTATAATGCAGTGGTGCATCTGCTTCGTCCAACATTATGCTTTAATGGTTATGGCAGGGCAAAACATCTGGAATTTGTAACATCCATACCAGAGAGACCAGCACAGCTGCTTCTCCTACAGGTTTGTTTTGTTTCTTAAAAAATCTTTTTTAGTAGCGGATTAGGACTTACTTCTGAAAACAGCATGAAAGGAATTCTAGAGTGAGTGTTAATGGTTAATGAGTCTTATTTACAAAGCAAAACATGGAACCTAATCTCTAAATGGTCTGAACAGCATAGTTTTATTGACATCATTAGCAATATGCCAGCTTTTGCTAACTGAGAACGTGGCTAAAGATAAAAGATGTCTGAGGCCTACATGAAGTGGCCAGAAAAATTGTGAATTCAAATAAACTTGAATCATTTGCAGAGTTATCTTATGGGTGAATTCATGCTATCTGCATCTGCTGTGAATACTTCCTGCTTTTGCTGATGTTGACTATATGGCAATTTACAACCATTCTGCAACTTAAAAGTTACCTAGCATGTGAATAATTTTTATGATGTAGTGTATCTGTCTTGTGTGAATGAAAAACCATTGGTAGGTACATCCAGTATAATTGCTGTAGATTTAGTCCATTTGACACTATGAAAATAAGTGTACAAATGAGCTCACCTATAGGAACAATTTGAGCCTATTAGGTTCTCTGGGGGAAAAAAAAGGTTGCACAAAAAAAGACTAATGCTCTTTTAACTGGATTGAACCAAATCCTACAGCCTCCATGCCATCTCATGACCGAAACTTGGCAAAGTAGAAAGAAGCAGGAGGATGTTGCTATAATGCTAGCCTTATAGTTGCTATTTTGTTATTTATGAAGTAATAAAATGGTAGCACAAGATCATAAAGATCCAAACCCTGTTTCTGTAGGGCCTCTATTCAACTGCATATCATTAGAATTCTAGACCTACAGCCATCCCTTTCCTGAATAATTTTTTTTTCTTGCATCTCTTACTAAAGCAGAAAGATTCAGTGATGATTTTTTTGAAATTTAGATCCTACTTGTATATTTGTCATCCATGGTCCATGGACCTCCTATTGTCCTTTTTTAATGTCATATTTAAAGGTGTTCTGTTATCGTTTCATTGAAGTAACCTCATTAACCGTATATATTGTGTTGCTTTGCTCTGCTGTGCGTTCATGGTTTAAAATAAACCCTTCATCCTTATAATAGATTTTTTTCATATTTACATTCCCTAGGACTCCCTGCTCAAACTGAAAGATTACAAGCAATGCTTTGAACGCTCAGAAGTTGCCTTGAATGAAGCAATTCAGCAGATGATTAATATGACAGCAGCCTCTGCTAAAGAAGAGTGGGTTGCTACAGTAACACAACTGCTCACAGGAATAGATACTTCATTATCATCAGTCAACAGCATCCTGAAAGACTCTTCTGTAACACCAAGCCTCATTCGATTAACAAACAACCTGATTCAGGTAACCTGTTCAGTTGTGCTAGGAAAGAGGTATTGTGTGCTACAGACCTTCAGACATGATACAGCTGCTGTCTGAATTGCCACCCACTCGCAGTGACGTTTTGGGTTACATTTTTGTTGGGGGAAGGTCGGGGGAAGATTTTCATTTCAATGTGTTAGAGATGCATTCAGCACACCTGTGCTAGAATCAGTAGCAGCAGGTGCCTTCAAATGCCAAGCTGCCTAAAATAATCCAAGAATGGTAGTAAGGCAACCCAAGGAACAACACTATTTCCTTACGCTATTTGAAATAGTGATAATGGGAAGACTGATTGAGCTGGCTGGGTTCAGTTTGTAAGTTATGGCACTGATCTTGGCTGTATGCGCTTTGGGCTAGAAAACAAGATCTCATAAGCCTTATGAACATGGTAGAGTTGCTTGCAAGTGCTGGCCAAGCTAAGATTTTTTTCCAGTAAAAACAGAGAGGGTGATGAGAAGAGGGCAAGGAAAAAAGTGATGTGTGGACTGTTTCTAGCATTATGAATACAGCTAATTTTAGCCTTTTAAAGAAGGTACCTTCAAAGCTTAAAATTACTGAATGAATATTTTTCAGTCCAGGTAACAAATGGCAGACTCTCAGTTCTGTTAAGAAGCTAGTCTAGTCAATGTCAAAATTCAATGTGCTTGCAACTCTTAAATCTCCACTTATTTGAGTAAAAGCCAAGGACCTTCACTACTCACAAAATCACACTCTCATTGCGTAAAGTTGTGTGTGTCACTATGTTACAAATGTAATGGAATTCTGGAGAACAGAATATTCATTGTAATATCCTAAATGGTTTCTGTAGTAATAATAAATATGATTCTTTAGCTACATAAAATACCAATAGAAAAACTATTGTATGTGTGAAAGAATGTAAGAAAAGTGTAGGACTTCAGAAATTTCTGGCAGTGTGGCAATAAAATGGGCAGTTGTCTGTGAGAAATGCTAGGTCAACGGTTCTGTGACACAGTATTGTGTTGCTCTGAATGTATTCAGTTGGTCTTTAACAGTTGTTGTAAGACCTGGTAAAGAATTCAGGAATTCTTTTAACTAAGTTCCTCTTCCTTGCTGGGTTGTAGATAAATTGTACAGTAATGAGGCCTACTAATACTAAGAATTTATGCTGTGCATTTGCTTACTTTGAATTGTTTGTATATGGTATTAACAGAGAAATAACTAGTTGGTAAATGATGATGCAAGAGGAATGTCAGGGTAGGGGAAATGATCTTCTACCCTTCCCCATACCAGTTGATCTTATTTGTAGGACTTTACCATCACTCATTGTGAGAAGCTGAGACTCAGCTTTAGATTGTTTCCTTAGGATAAACTGCATTACCAACTTTGGGTTGTTTGGAAAGGATTCACACCTGATGTTTATTTTGTATCACTTTGTGTGTATAATGTCTGTTTCTTTATTAGATCATAGACTGCAGCATGTCAGTCCAAGAAGAACCAAAAGAACCATACGTCTCCTCAGTGCTTCCATGGATTATCCTGCACAGGATCATCCAGCATGAGGAAGATGCTTTTCGATCCCTTTGCTCCCAGCAGCAGCAGCAGAACCAGGGAGAAGAAGGTGGGTTAATTATTCACTTTTACATATTGGAGCTGAGCTCCTTACCATCTAACTCTGGAATATAAGTAAGAAAATATTTGTTTGTCATCTTATCCTGCTGGCTCAAGGGAGTAGAGGGGTATGCAAAAATCACTTTCTTATCACAGAGGAAACTTCTTTTTGCCAGATGAAGCATTGGCTGTGTCCTGGTTTCAGCTGGGATAGAGTTAATTGTCTTCCTAGTAGCTGGTACAGTGCTATGTTTTTGAGTTAGGTATGAGAAGAATGTTGATAACACTGACGTTTTCAGTCGTTGCTAAGTAATGTTTAGTCTAAATTCAAGGATTTTTTCAGCTTCTGATGCCCAACCAGCGAGAAAGCTGGAGGTGCACAAGAAGTTGGAATGTGACACAGCCAGGGCAGCTGACCCAAAGTGGCCGAAGGGGTATTCCATACCATGTGATGTCGAATCTAGTATATAAACTAGGGGGAGTGGGGTGGATGGATTGCCGATCGGGGACTAACTGGGTGTCAGTAGGCAGGTGGTGAGCAATTGCACTGTGCATCGTTTGTACGTTCTAATTCTTTTATTATTACTGTTGTAATTTTATTAGTGTTATCATTATCATTATTAGTTTCTTCTTTTCTGTTCTATTAAACCGTTCTTATCTCAACCCACGAGTTTTACTTCTTTTCCCGATTTTCTCCCCCATCCCACCAAGTGTCGGGGGGGGGGTGAGTGAGCGGCTGCGTGGGTCTTAGTTGCTGGCTGCGGTTAAACCACAACAGGCTAGTTGGATTTAACTCAGTTCTGTGCTACTTTAATATTTACCAACTTCTTTCTTCCAGTGAGTCCAGATACCCCTATGTTGCCTTCTTCACTCATGCTGCTGAACACTGCTCATGAGTATTTGGGAAGAAGATCCTGGTGTTGCAATTCAGATGGTGCTCTTCTCAAGTTCTATGTAAGTGTTAGCATCGTAGAATAATTTAGGTTGGAAGGGACCTCTGAAAGTCATCTGGCCAACCCCCATCTCAAAGCAGGGAACAACTTCAAAGTTATATTAGATTGTTTATTGCCTTGTCTTCATGTTAAAAAATACACTTTTAAATCCACTTTCCTTGTTCTCCCAGACAAACACATGAATGTTTCAGTCAGTTTAATCTGAATAGCAAAGGCTTGTTATTCCAGACCCATCAGTATGCTTTCTAAACAGGACTTTTTGTCAGACAAGAGATGCCTTTGGATAACCAACTCTGTACTATAAAACCATCTTAAATGGGAATTAGTAAATAATCTACCTTGCCCTGAAAGAGAAAGCACTGGAGCAGTGTTAAGTGATTATTCTGAGTACTTAGGATAAATGTGGACCTGTATCAGCCACTGATCATGATAAAACTTCAGTTGAATGACTTGAATTTTGTGGTGCTTAGCTTCAGAAGATGCATCTTCTACTGTTTAAAAATGAACAGAGGTAATGTTTGAAGCTAATAAAAATTTCTGGTGCTTATCAGCATTCATCCAGATGACTGGTAATACGGTAATTTGTCATTGTTGTATATTCTTTCGTGTGGTAAAGTCAGAGGTGGTTTGGGTTTTATTTTTGGTAACGAACATATAAAACCACATGCAGCTTGTGACCTGTGGAAAGGGAACACCTAAATACTGAATCCAGCTTTATCTTCTCCTTCTGTGTCTGGTAGCTCAGCCACACCCTTGCCCTGCTTGCAGCAAAGGTTTACTCTGATTTAAATTCAAAATTTTATTTTAGATATCCAAATAATGTTTTGCTCATAATAACTCTTAATTTTTAGCTGTCCTCTGAGAATTAAGAGTAACAATTCTAAATTCACAAGTGTTGAAGGTGAACAATTGCCCCAAGTCTGCTAGCTAGAGAGAAAGAGAGAGAGTTCGCACATGAGGAATGTCAGGAAAAATAACAGCCAAACCATAAAATCCCATCTTTCCTGCTTATCTCTCAAATGTCTTGCTGGAAGGTGAGCTGTCTGTGTGGCTGGAGCATGCTTCCTGCTCCAATATTCCAGCAGTGACCATGACTTTTGTCCCCCAACCGGGAGGTAAGTTAGGTAGGATGGAAGTGGCAAACTTTGGGCAAGAGGTGTGTGCCATCTCAGCAGTGCATTCTGGTGGGTGTGCACTTCAGTCTTTCAGACGGGAAAAAAAGCAAGTGGGCTTAGCAGAGTTTGCTGTAGGAGCAGATAACCCTGGTTACCCACAAGGAGTGTGATCCAGAAAGTAACCAAACCATAGCATGGAGAATGAGCCAGTTAATTTCCCAGAAATGAGTACCAGGTATCTTGAATGGAAAAATGCTGTTAAAGTGATTGCCAGTAATGTTGTATAGCTCTTCTTCCTGAGAGGGACCAGTTTTCTTGTGTACTGTGCCTTTATTTCCTCAGAGTTCCAGTATTTGATAAGGATTTTGCAGTTAAGTAGATTTAACACTCATAATTGATGGTATTAGAATTCTACTCAGTTATGCATAGGTGAGACAGACATGATGTGACAATGCAAACTTTTGTTTCCTCCCATGTGCTTCCATGTGCTTTCCTCCCATCAGCTTCAATTATATTCAGGTCTACTTTTCTTTTTTCTCCCAGTCCAATAACACAAGGATAAAAGGGATTTAAAATAATAGACTGAAGGAGGAAAGGGAAATACTTAATGTCATAGGCAGCCACTTCAGGTGTTTTCTGTTGAACAATGCTGAGTTCATCATTAATTCATTATAATTTATAGTACCACTGAAGATATGCAGAATTTAGATACTGCTAAAGATAACTGTCTTGTGCTTTGAAGGATGATCTAATCATTCATATGAAGTAAAAATGCAGAAGACTTTTTTCAAAGCTTTTGTAAAGCATTGCATAACTTATTTTGTTCATTGTAGGGTTTTTCCTAGGTTTTGATTTTTTGTTTTATTGCTCTCCAGAACACAAATGTTGCTAGCTCAAGATACAGAATGAGCTTGGGTAGAAGTCTTACTTGTGCTGAAAGGGGGGAGTGATTATCCTTGACATACCTTATCATGTTGTCAAAGATGTTAAATGTAAGAATGGATGCAGCAGAGATGTGGATAGTTGGTAGTAGGGATGTGGATAGCTGACAGCAAAGCTGAGGAACTCAGTACATGGACTTTTTTTTTAACCAAAAATACTGTAACTGTTGCTTTCAGATGAAGCTTGAAGTATTTTAACTTTGTATAAAGCAAAATTAAATTTTTAAGGACATTTTTCTGTTACCACAGACTGTGAGACCAAGTTTCAAGTATTAGTGACCTTTAAGAGGAAGAATGTGGGTATAGTCTTTGCTTTTAAAAATACGTTGAAGGGTGATTTCTTAGAAAGACAAGAAGTCAAGAATCATGCTCATTTATGTTCAGTAATCAAAATGATATTCAAAAGTCTTAATTGTGAGAACTCTTATGTTAAAGAAAAGAAAAAATTAAGAGTAGTGAATGTAAGAAGAATGACAGCATACCTAAGTATTAGAATAAAAAAGTTATGTCCTGTTTGGAAGTCGGTTTTCTAAAATCTGGTGAGTAATAGAAATGAACACTTGAGTGTTGATATAAAATTAAAAATAAACCTGAGAACAGTTTATTTCCTGTCATAATTCCCCTTGTTCTGTGGACTTAACTTGCTGAGAATAATAATTGTTTTCTTCTGAGTTTTCTCCTCTGTTTTGCTTCTTGCACTAGTATTTTATTTTGTTCCTAGGATTTGAAAGAGAAGTAGGAATAACCAAGCAGTCTGATAGTACTGTACCTCATTCACAAGCTGAGAAAAACTGCAGTGTTAACTTCTTTAAAATTGCTGCTAAAATAACCCAGTGGGATTCCATATTCATCTTGTTTCAGTGATTCTAAAGAAGTTGCTCATTTCACAGAACAGAATTTGTCAAGTGTTACATAAAGTTTGCACATTTTCAATATAGGTAAATACTATTTAACATGTAAAAAAGAGCATATTTAACTGTCAGCCAGGAAAACTGCATTTTGAATTTTGCAGTTAAACTTGGTTATATGTTTCTTCCAAGTCACAAGAGTAAAGCTTTGCAGGCCATTGTGTGTCCTCAGTTATGCATGTGGAATGCTACTGATTGCCCACAGACTGTGTGGTGTTACCCAGATTTGGTCCTGAAGCTGTGATGTATTTGGCTGTTCTGCTGTTGATAAATTTGATTTGTTTGCTTATACGTGCCTTGATTTTATACCACGGATTGAAAAAAATAGTAATTCTATTGTTTTCATGTTATTAACGAAATGTAACTTCAAATATACATCTAGAGTTCATCTACTGAACAAAGATGATCAGAATGAAGAATTACTTCAGTTCTTCACTTCCCTGTGTGTGAAGGCTGTTCTTTGATCTGTTTTTTAAATTGGTGTGTTAAAAGATCTAATCTGCTCGAGAAATGGGTGTCTGGGCAGTAATGCTGTAGCATTATTAGATGAAAGGAGTTACCCATTCATTGTTGACCTTTTTAAGATTATTCCTTCAGGTCTAGTTGTTACACCAGGAAAGAAATTTCCTGTGTGTTGCTGTTGCCTCGCTTTATCCTTAGCTTAGAAACTAAAGTGCAGTCAGGTTTTCACTGTGCAAAGTACTGACAGTCTGGGGTAGCCTGGCTGTTGGCAAAACCCAGATACACAGTACCATGGCATTCATTGGGCAGTGCTCTACAGGGATATTTCAGTGGCACTTTACAGATTCAGCTTGACTTCACTGAGGTTTATTACCTTCAGTCAAGAGAAAATCATGACGAGTTCTGCATAGAGCTACTCAGGAATCTCTTTAATTTCCCTTCTCAGCACTCCCTGGAGCTTATTAGCCACAGCTCAGTGCCAGACCACATCTGCCTCTGCATATGAGCAGCAGTGTGTCCAGGACAGTAATTTAGACAGCTAGGAAGGATGGTGCGGAGAGCCGGAGGGGTTCTACAGGAGTCAGCTCACCCTGGTAGGGCTGGAGCTAATGAACAGTGTTTGAACTGAGGCTGATTTAGTGTAGGACTGTTAGATTATCTCTGCATCCTACTCTCCTCTGTCTCCCTGGTATTAGGAACATAATGCTGATACACCCGAGTTGTCTCTGGATGGGTCTGCCTTGGGTGCAGAGGGCTTATTAGCTCAGGCCCTGTGCTTCATGAAAATAGATAGCCTGTTTCCAGACTCGAGCTTGCCCTTAGATGCGGTGCTCCGAAGTGATGAATCTAAATTGTGACTGTATAGTCTGCCTGTATCCACAGCCTGGGGACTCAGATAGTATGCTCTGTGAACCTGGATAAACTACAGATAATTGAGAGCTGTGAATGTAGTTACAGCTAGATCTTTGCAAATGTCATCAGGTACTTTGAACAGAATCTTCAATTTTCAGCCACAGAATTGCCTGCTTCTTAAACTGAAATATTACATAGTATTATTGAGCACAAGGATTTAGTTTTCAGAGACAAGAGTGTGTTGGAAGGGTAAGGAAAGACAAAAATAAAATGGAGTGAATTATTTGAAGAGAAAGGCAGCTTCAAGAATGTTAAACAAAAGTATGTTTTAAAGACTGATATTAAATGATCACTTTCTGTAGGTGAACTGTCTGCTCAAGGTAGTGTGCAAGAAAAGATATAATATGTAGTTAAGTCCTTTAGTAATAATCAAAGTCTGAATTGCTAAGAACAATCCTGGGTTACTGCCAAGAATTATAAGAACACAGGAGATTGTTTTGAACACGGTTCAAATGAGAATTCTGTTAGCGGTGTTAGATGTGATTTTGTTTGCAGCAGTAGGAATATCATGCTTTTGTTACAGTATCCTGTGATGCTTACCTCTTCCTTTCAACTTACTTATCTACACTTTTGGTAAATTTCAAACATTGTTCACAGATTCTTACAGGAAAAATAGTGGAAATCAGGTGTCTGCTGTGACTCAAAATTTAATTGAAATGCCTTCTAAGAATTGTCTTTAATTTCTCAGGGTTTTGACTTAATAGTACCTTGTTCTTAGCACGGATCTTTTAAGCAAAAGAGAATTAGCATTTTATAGTTAATCTCAGCGCTTACGAATGAGCTTCTTGCATGTAGAGTGACAGAATTTTGCCTTATGATGTGCAGTGTTTGTAGTGTCAGGAAAGCCAATCATAACAAGAAGCTTCTTGTAGCATGCATCGTATGCATAAATAGAGTTTACAATCCTAGATGTTGAAAAATGATAAATGGTGATAAACAGGCAGCTGAAGTACTTTAAAAGTAATGTGATGAGCTTTTATATGAATTGCAAATATGTGAATGTTTTGCATTTTCAATTTATGACTGCAAAATTTCTGTTGAGGAGACTCTTAAATTTAACCAATGTGTTGAGGAATGGGTGTGGCTGATTTAGAGAGGTCAGATCTTGCTAAAATGAATTAATGAAAGCTGATGCTTTCTATCAGAGGAAAAATGTTAAAGGAAATTACTTACCAGTTAATCGAACTCTCCTGGTCGTATACAGCTTCCTAAAAATTTAGAGGCAAATCACAGTGGAGAACTTGGTATTTTTCTATACCCTTCAGTATCCCAAGTGATGATTACAGTAGAAGCATTTCTCTTCTACCACCTCAAATGAGTTTTCTTTAGACTTAACAGGTGCATTCTGATACTGGGGACACACATGACATGTTACTGTTGCATGTGTAAGATATTATGAATGTAATTTCTACTTACACATTTCATTTAAATTTAAATTTTGTAGTGGGACATGTTGGAATTGATTCTTAAACCTCAGTCATAAAGTGTGGGTTTTGTTTTGGTTTTGAAATAAAGATGCAAAATCCCACTACTAAGGTTATTCTTGGTGAACATGTTCTTACTGACTTTGAAATGTCTTCCTGGAATGTGTTCTTGTTTGGTTTGCTTTTTAAGGAAGCATTGTGAAAGTTTTCAAATAATTACCTTTTGTCTTTTGGCATTCAGTTGCAGTTTTCTTTAATGAATGTTTTAGAGCAATAACATCTTCCAAAATATGCTAGTGTTGGGTACTTTTTCTTGTAATGTTGAAGTTAAAGATAGCAACTTGCTACAGTGTTTAGTCATTTGGGATCAGTCCAGCCACTTTCCTTGGTGTGTAGCCATCTGTATAATACTATTCATACTATGCAATTCTATATCCCTTTTAGCCAGATTTTCGTTAGCCATCCCTTCTTTTTCTGCAAAGTCCTCTCCATTCCCCTTTTTCCATGCAGAGGAAATTGATGTTTGTGAATTAGGGCAGAAATTCTGCTGTGCCTTTTCCTTATTCACAGGGTTGACAAACGGTAGCGTTTATATTCATAGAAGCAACTTGCGGTGTAGTGGAAAACTTTGAATAATCTTAAGTCTGAAACATTAAGCTAGTATCTAATCTCATTGATTGAAGACAAGAGTTCATGAATTAACATAGGAAGAAAAGTAAAAGCACTTTATTGCAGTTACAGTACCATTTAAAACTCGTGTGTGAGACTAGTTTACAGAAATATGGGTAATGTTTGGTTGTAATTGGGGAAAAGTACATGTAGTACCTTAGTGTTGTTTTCATCATCTGCCTTCAGACAAGTAGGCAACTTGTCTACAAGCTGAAGATTGCATTGACTTTTTCATTGATATTTGTGGTGTTGTAGGTTCAGGTACTACAAAAAGAACTTGCAGCATCCACTTCTGAAGATACTCATCCATACAAAGAAGAGCTGGAAACAGCCTTGGAACAGTGTTTTTATTGTTTATATGGCTTCCCTAGCAAAAAAAGCAAAGCAAGGTACCTAGAAGAGCATTCAGTACAGCAGGTAAGATACATATTATTTAATGTCATGGAATATCCTGGAGTGATGAAAGATACACCCTTGTTTGGTTTTAATGCACCTTAATATATTTTTGAGAAAGATTACTTTTATTTCCTTGTAAAATTTATGTATTCTACATATTGTAGAAAATAAACTAATTTAAAAAATATGGAAGCCTTTATGAATATAGAGGGTCAGATATTTGAAATGAAATGCTAGTATAATCTTATTCACAGTAGTCTGCCCTTTTTAAACTATTGACAAATCGATTTTATTGAGCCATGACTTTCCTGTTTTCAACAGAGAAGAAGTTCAAGTTTGAGGAAAATTAGAGAGGAAAAAGGTCAGCTTGGGAGAAGAAAACTTTAGCAGCCAACCTTGCAGTTTATGAAAGTGAAAAATGTCACTTTAAAAAGTTATGCAAGTAAATTATATTATAGCTTATTTTGAAATCTATGGTGTTAAATATCTGGTAGCTTTTTATGAGAAATGTGTAAAATTCAGTTGAGTTTGGGAGAAGAATAGTTACAGAGTGCCTTGGGAAGAGGGTTGTAATATTAAAGAAGGGACAGAAAAAGCAGGTTGGCAGTCCTCTGCCTTGAAACATCATTGATTTTGTTCAGAAAGCTCAGATGATTTTTGCATTTATCAAACACAAGTGATTAGAGAGTTATAGATGAAGAACAGTTTCATACAAGCAAAACAATTTTCTGGCTCCTTTGAACAGGCCTTTTTAAATACACAAATAGGGTTATGTTATTACTTCTTGAATATTTGTGAATTCTGTCTCTTAAAATTACCTGTTAGAAAATTAAGATAATAAGAAAATGGCAATAACTAAGAAAAAGGGAAGGGTAAGGACATTACCCTCTGTGTGCGCCCTGCCCTGCTCTCCCCCCATCTGTTACATTGGGCAATTCTGGATGAAAAAGTTCTTATTGGAATGATGGACAAATTGATTTCTAGTAATGTGATTTCCCCATTTTCAGTACAGAAGCAACATTTACGTAAGGAATGAGATGAACAATAAAAGGAGAAAAACTTAGTCTAGCAGAAGAGAACTGTAAATTTATTTTATTTTTTTTATTTACTATTTTGAAGAAAGAAAAGTGAAAGAAAAATGAGGAATAAATTCTGAAAGTACCTTTCTGTAGAGAGTTTGAAGATTTTTGAGTCTCAGAATTTTGTATGATTCCCATTTAATTTATTCTCCTTACTTGAGTTTGAAATTGAAGGTGCAAAGCTTTTCTGCTCCATATCTTACCCATGATCTCAGTGTCACTCAGGATGCTTGCAATTGACTCTTGCTTATAAACAACTTTTCTGAGCAACTCTTCTAAGCAAATAGAATGACCTTTTTTTTCAGTGGCATACAGTAAGTTACAGCTCAATACCTTAGTCTTTTAAATCAGTGAGCAGTATGCTATATTTGTGAGCAGCATAAATTAATGGTGCCTTTAGTCATTCTGCTCTTGGGAAGTTTGTTTCCTGCTAGAGTAATATATATATTCTTATGAACTAGAAAAGCCATAGAAACTCATCATTAGTAGACTATTGAATTTTGGAATTTCAAATCATTTTTTTCCCCCGTCTAATCTACCTCCCTCTTCAGGTTGATCTAACATGGGAAGACGCTTTGTTCATGTTTGAATATTTTAAGCCTAAAACTCTTCCAGAATTTGATAGTTACAAAACCAGCACTGTGTCTGCTGATTTGGCCAACCTTTTGAAGAAGACTGCTACAATTGTTCCTCGAACAGACAAGCCTATGCTGAGCCTAGATGCTGTATCTGCCTACATTGAAGGAACATGCAGCAAGGTATAATGAACTGCTTTAAAAAAAAAAAAAAAATTGAAGGGAGTAAAAATTGTTGTTGTTATTTTTATGTTGACTTTGAGATAGGGGGAGTGATTTATTCCATGATGTTGGATTTCCTCGGGTAATTGCATTTAAATGAAATAAGAATGACACCACCAAAGCTTTTAGTTTTGGAATGGCAAGATGTGATGTTGATTAATAGGGAGTCAGTATGAGATGTTCGTTAGTGTTTGTAGGTGCTCTGTGTATCTGTGGAATGCTTTCACTGTCTTCATATTCAATACCTTCATATTCTATGATGAAAAGGCTACTTTCACTACAGGGAAGAAGCAAGTGTGCAGCTCATTTAATATGAACATTTTATTTAATATGAACCTTTACTTTTTTTTTATTTTCAGGCACCATCTCTCCCAGATGGTGCAGACTATTCTCCACCAGTGGTGACTGAGTTGTACTATCTTCTGGCAGACTATCATTTCAAGAATAAAGAACAGTCTAAGGCCATTAAATTTTACATGCACGACATTTGTATTTGTCCAAACAGGTTGGTATTATTGGATCCTGCTGCACATCATTCATTCTTCTCACTTCTTTCAGTACTGAAAAGTGGACAACAAATGATATTTATTTTGGTTTTAGGAGTTAAAAAAAACCAACAAGACCAAAAAAATACAAACCTAAGAAACCCACCTGCGATCACTTATCATAAGTCAATTGTATAATTAAAGGCATCTCTACAAACCAAAACCTAAACCCTAGTGTTAAGTGTTTGATTGTTTTGAAATTAAAACCAGAAAATGGAAGGGGAGGGGGAAGCTAAATTAAAATAAAGAATAATTGGGAAGGGCAAGGACTGAATCCATATTTCTCTTTTACACCTTTTGTTCTTTGTTTTGGCATGTTTATACATGACAAGGAATGAAAAATATCACTGGTTAATAGCATAGCTATAGCACAAACAGCATTCTTTAGTGGATTAACTGTTTAGGCTGACCTCTTTCTAAAAGTATTGATCTTGCTGCTAGACAGCTACTCAGAGAATACAAGCTCAAGTAAAGTATTTAAGTGCTATTCAAACTAAAACACCTTGTTTATTGATAATTTACAACTTACTGAAATACCACCAAGATTAAGCACTCTCATCTTAAAAATAAAGCATGTTTTGAATAAGTCTTCTAACATGAAATTAAATACCTTTAAATTTACTGATTAAATATAGGGTTTGCATATTACGTGTTAGCTATCATTTAAATTCTTCTTGAAGTTGATAGATGAGGGTCAGTGACAAAAACTCTAGATTGATAGGTTTGAGACAAGAAAACTACTTCTAAATCCAGTCACATAACAGAGACAAAAGGGAAGGTGAAGGCACAGAGCAATTTTACATGTGAAATCTACAAGGAAATAGCTGTAGCTTAATGTTTTATTGAATCTTCTAGTCTGGGAACTGTGACTAGCAGATTGCTAAAATTCTTGTTTGAAGTCTGATAAAGAATTTACCAATATTCCCCCCCCCCCCCCCCCTTTTTCTGTAGTTTTGATACTTTAAAACCTAAATTCATAAATAAATCAGTGGAATGCATTTTTACTTTAATGTGTGACATTTTGTTGCTCAGAAGATGCTTTATGTGGTAGCGTAGTATTTTTACCCCAGTCATAGGAGATGTTACTTCTTCAAATGTCTGTATTACAGTTCCCCTTCCATTCCCCTCAGGAATCTGACTATTGAGGTCACTTGACCCAGAAATGGGTTTTCAGTTGAAGTCAGGAAGAAATTCCAAGAAAAAATATGAGAACATTATGATTATTCCTTTGGTGTTAGAATTATGGTAAAATTGAAAAATTCCAGAGCCATTGACCCCAGATGTTAATGTGAGATTATGGAATATGGAAACTACTCTTCAGACTGTGTTGTCAATGATCTAATAAACACAGGACTAGATCCTGAACAGTCCCCTCAGTAAGCAATCTTCATTGTTCATCAGAATTTTCCTACATGAATGCATTTTGGTTTTCTTGATTTTTATGTTGGAAAATGATGATGATAAAGACCATTCACAGTTCAGTCCAACAATACAAAATGTCATACTGGCTGTCTGCTGGCCTACAGAAATAAAGGGTGACAATGTTTGGACAGGACAGCATCGTTACTGAGAAAGGAAATCAATCAGAGTGCTGCCATTAGAAATACAGATATGCTATTTTTGTGTGGCAAATAAAGCTTGTTGTTTCATCTTTTTTATGTGTGACAATTACTGGGGACAGTGCTTTATTAGGGAACTATTTTTAATAAAATCAGTATGGTTTAGGCTACACAGCCTCTGTTCTGCTATGAGGGGAGGAGGAGGTGCAGAAATCTATTTTGAGAGAATGTATGATGAAAGGAAGAGAAAGTTGCGGATATAACAAAATGAATCTTGTCTCTGCTATTCAGTGTAATGTTTAGGGGGGAAATTGTTCATGTGTTATGTTCTTGCTTGCATAGGTTTGATTCATGGGCTGGGATGGCCCTGGCTCGAGCAAGTCGTATTCAGGACAAGTTGAACTCTAATGAATTGAAAAGTGATGGCCCAATCTGGAAGCACTCTACTCCTGTCTTGAATTGCTTCAAGCGAGCCCTAGAGATTGACAGCTCTAATCTCTCCTTGTGGATAGAATACGGCACCATTTCCTATGCCCTACATTCTTTTGCATCTCGACAGCTTAAGCAGTGGAAATCAGAACTCCCCCCTGAAGTTGTGCAGCAGGTGGGGTCTAACTGAGAGCAGTATGAAATTTTAAATATTTAAATTATCTTTTCTAACACTGTAACTTTTTAAATTAAATATTTACATGCTGTATACCACATATTAGACTGTATGGTTACTTAGTAATATTGGAAATTCTAATATTCATTCATCTAAGCTGCTGGTGTCAAGCAGTATTTAAAATTGGGTGGTTTTTTTTTTCTTTCTTTCTTCCTGTGTAAAATTAGTTTGAGCCTGATCTTTGAATTATCTTTTGAAGGTGACACAAAATTATTGTAACCTTCTGGAAAGGGGGATTATATTTACCTTTCCTTTCTGTAAATGTCATAAATGTTTCCAGGAAAAGGTGAAATGTATACATATTTAAATAGTGAAAAGATCAGGAATTGCTCTGGTATCTGTGTCCATATGTCATCTCTTGTATCTAAAGACATCCTCCCCCTTTTCTCTGTTTTTGGACTATTTACTTAAACAAATGATCAAAATTAGGAGATTGGTAGAATTTTCATAGAAAGAGTTGTTTAAAGTTCATTAGCTCTTTATGCATGATGATGATGAAAAAGAGTTATTATGAAATTTGTTGCTAAGCCAAAATGAGCAATTCTAAATACTCGCAGACAGTGATAAGAGTTGTTAGGGGAAATGTTTTGTCTGTCTTTTTGGACCAGTAAACTCTATTTCTGATTGAACTCTTCTGACTTACAAATATTATGTAGTCCACAACTGGCAGCAGAATGAAAAAGAGAAGTGCTGCACCTGAGCACCTGCTGTAATTTGTAAAAACTCTTAGTGTTTGAACTATAGAGAACGGTATTGCGAACATCCTTTGTTTCCAGGAGAACGTATTTACAGCAAGGTGATGGGTCTTGCATCTGAGCTGTCTATGTAACTGTATTAGCATTGCACTTCCCAGAGACACTTACACAGCATTTGATCCTCTAAGAAGAAAGACAATGTAAGCATGCATATTAAAGGAGAACAAATGGTTTATTAAATAGTATGTTTGAAATGACAACTAACAATAGATTTTTCTTTCTGAGGGTTATTACGGCCAAGAGCTCCAAAACTAACTACTCAGAAAATGAAGTTATTACATTTTATGCCTTCGGTCTATCAAAAGTTTGGTCTTAACTGTCTTGCAAGCCTCTTGGCTATGAGGGACTTGCTGAAGAATTCCAGGGATAATGCTGGAGTTATTTCTTATTATCAGATAAAGGGTAAATACAGAGCAGCCATCTTAAGTTGTGGATTAAATCAGAATGTTTATTTGGGACTACTTGAATCTGTCTTTTTTCAAGTGAATGTATTAAAAACTCATAATTTACTAAGAAAAGCTCTTTTATACTGAAAGATAAATTGGAACAATACAATCTCCCTTCCAGAGATATATCTCTTCAGGAATGTGTTTCTCATACATAAAAACTTTATTATTCTCTTCTCCTTACAAAATATTTAGGAAAGGCAAGGCTATGTTGCACTTCAAGAACTATAACAAGTGCTTAGGATTCTGTTATAGCCCAACAATTTAAATTTATAAAATACTTTTTCAAAGAGAGAAAATTACATTAATGCATGGCAGTTAACTTTAATTTGTGCTGCTGGTTTTAATTTCTTTGGGGGGGGGGGGGGGGAAAAAGAGTATTCTTGCCATATTCAGCTCAAAATTAGATGCATTGCAAGCAAGATGAAATACATTTCTTCACAAATGATAGTGGTCCATAGTGTGGCTCTAGCAGACTTCAGTTGCAGAACAAAACAAATAATTTTTTTTTTTAAAGTTAAGATAATTACAGCTTTGAAAAAGTGGTAAAATTTTTCTAGACGTGTATATTGGTTATTTTTCAGATTTATATTTATATGCATATTCTTACACTTCTGTCTTGCTGTTTTGTTCTGGTTATTTGTGTCAGCAGTTACTGGAATAAACAAAAACCTATCCTTAAACACATTTTGTGGGTCATCAGGATGTATCTGATCACTTGGATATGTTCTGTGTCTTCTAGGTTGAAAGTGTTTTAAGTGAAGTACCTTGTTTATGCACTTTATATGCAGGAGTGTATTTTTAAAATTTTTCATCCCAGCCACAGTGAATTCATGTATTCTCAACACTTTGTTCGATCACAGATGGAAGAGCGTCGAGACAGTATGTTGGAGACAGCCAAATTGTGTTTTACGTCAGCATCTCGCTGTGAGGGAGATGGCGATGAAGAGGAGTGGCTTATTCACTACATGCTGGGAAAGATTGCAGAGAAGCAGAAACAGCCTCCTGTTGTCTATCTGCTTCATTACAAACAGGCAGGTCATTACTTGCATGAGGAGGCTGCCCGATACCCAAAGAAGATTCACTACCATAATCCACCAGAACTTGCCATGGAAGCGTTGGAGGTAAAAGAAAGTTAAATACGTGGGCTTGAAAACCTTGTTCTCTACAGATAATGGAATACCAGTCATTATTAGTTCATACTATTAGGCATATGTGCATGGTGCTCTGCATCTGGGAACATTTACAGGACTAACTTGGAGAATAAAATGGAGCCTGTTGTTCAGGCTGGTTTTGTTTTAAAGGCAGTTTATGCATACGGTCTCAGTATTGGACAGACAGGCAGAAGTTCCACTTCTGGATTTGGCTGCACACAGTTCATTAGTCAGTTTTTATCAAAATCAGACATGGATAGGTTTCACAAGGATCGCATACCTGTGAAAGTCAAAGTTCATGCATGAGTTGGAATAGTAGCCACAATACCTTTGCTTTCACTGTGTTGTCAGGTAAAAATACTGTATCTAGAACATACCCAAGGACTTGCTTCCAAGGAGACCAGGTCTGCTTTCATTGTTGTATTCCATAGGTTGCAGTTGCAGAATTTTTATGGTGTTCAGATCTTGTAATTTACAAGCAACTTTCAAAGGCAGGAAATGTCTTATTCAGGTAAGTTTAGGTAACAAATTACTGTCTTTACTAACTCCTGCAGTTTCTACAGAGAAGAGACTATTTGTAATAGGTTGCAGAGCTATGAATTCTCTGCTGACCAAATGGACTTCGGTGTTTTCTAGGTATACTTTCGACTTCATGCTTCTATTTTGAAACTTGTGGGGAAACCAGACTCTGGAGTAGATGCAGAGATACTAGTTAGTTTCATGAAAGAAGCTTCCGAGGGACCATTTGCCAGGGGTGAGGAGAAGAACACCCCAAAAGTTGCAGAAAAGTGAGTGCTAAATTCCTGAAGTATCCTCTGAAAGCATACTTATAAACTACTGTATAATAAACTATTAAAATGAAGCTGAATGAAATATAAACAAAACAAAGTGATTAGAATTAATTCTGATGTTTGCAGTTTTCAGGTATCATGAACAGTAAGATTACATGCTACTCTGAGATCTCAGTAATTGGCACAGTGTAGATGGGAAGGGAACAAAATAGAACAATTTTGATCTTGTGATCCATTTTGAAGCCACTCTGTTTATTAATAAAATTAATTTTTTTTATCAGCTATTAACAAATGCAAAAGCAAAAATGGCCTTTATTTTAAAGGATAAGAGACTTTAGACCTCTTAATTTGTCTCATTAACAACTACAAAATAAAGAATGTTTTACTATTGACCAGTGACAAGGGAGGAATATAACCTGTACTTAAAAATCCATCATTTAGAATTTGTTAGTAAGATTTGGTTCCTGTATTGGAAATGTCATAAGAACATGTAGTCGTCTTTTGTTCTTTGTACATTTCCCTAGTATGTTAACACTTATTTTTTTTCTTGCCCCTCCCAGGGAAAAAGCTTGCATGATTGATGAAGACTCTCACTCTTCAGCTGGAACAGTGCCGGGTCCTGGGACTTCCCTCCCCTCATCCTCTGGTCCAGGTCTGACATCCCCACCTTACACAGCCACTCCAGTTGACCACGATTACGTCAAATGTAAAAAACCCCGTCAGCAGGCAACGCCGGACGGTACAGTCCCTGTTCTCAATACTGGCAGCACAGGGAGGTGCTCTAATCATGGGGGGTTTGACCAGGAATGATCAAACTGCTCATTTCAAGGAGGGTGATGGGTATGTGGTAACACGGGCAATATTGAAGCTCATTACCTTTATAAATTCAGTGCTTTAAATAGAATCAATGTACAGTCAGAGCTTTAAATATAAAATTCAAAGTTGTCACCTGCCACCATTGGCAACTGTCACTTAGTCAAAACGGGAATGTCAATAGGAGGAGTATGTAGCTGACTGAATTTTCAGTGATTTCCCCCCCTCTCGCCCCCTCCAGAGCTAAATGTCTGTCTGAGGTTATTAGGAAAGATGTGGGTTCAGTCTTCAGAAAACTGCACACTGTGTTTCAGTGCCTGTGTGAAATGACCAGGCGAAAATTTGAACTGTGGCTGAAACAAGACAATTTGTTAAAAAGGCAAAACAGTATTATCCTTTTTTGAAGGAGGCAGGTGGCAACTATTTTGAATATATTGTGTATCAGCACGAAGTGATTTGCATGACAGTCCAGTAGACTTCATCTTTTAATTTTTCTTTATCATTTACAATGACTGGTTAGCAGCTCATCTCTATAGAATATAAAGTGATATAATAAATAATTGGCTTATAAATGCAGAAGCTAGGGTAGTATCACAGTGTTAATGAAGATTTTGCCATATACATATATAGTAGAAATTAAGTTACTATTTAAGTAACCTGACATTATTATTTGGCTAGGAATTTTACTCTGATTCTTCTCTTCTGGCCATTTGTTTATCTATCTGGATCTGTGACTATCAGCACTCAAGAAGGACTAAAATATCTGCAATGTATAGCTTAGTGTTGGTAGAATGTGGCAGGCCCCACAGAAATGCTCTGCGTGATATGAATTTATTTCTGGAGGGTGGGCTGCTTTCTATTGTCATTTTCTGAAGAACAGTAATTTGTACATAACTTTGACATAGTTTTGAAGCAAATGTTCATATGCCTGGAAACTCTGCAAGGTGAATTTATTCCTTTTCCCCAAGAAAACTTGGCAAAATTGACAGAAGATCCTTCATCTCTTTCACTAAATTGAATAGAGAAATGTTCATTTTATTCATGCTTACATTTCAATCAGGAGTAATTAATTGGACTGTTTTAATATCACATGTAGTGTGTTAGTGTGAATGGGTTATGCAGTGATTAGGCTCTTTTATTAGCCTTTTGATGTCTTCTGACACAGCAAACACAGAAGGGAGCAAATATTTAAATATTTCCTGAACAATATTCCCTGAGAGAAGCAGTTCTGCCTAAGACTACGTCTGCTTAGGTCCTGAACACTGTTGAAATGTTCCCAGGAGATACATAATTTAGATAAATATTCCAGTATGTGTCGTTAGTACATTCACTCGAAGTAAGTTATTATGGACTGTGGCATGTGAATTGCCCAATGAGAGCAAAGTTGGCTGCTTAGCAAAGCCTGAAGGTGCAAGCTAAGGAACGTCTACCTCTGCCACGGCTGAAGTAGCAATTCTTGGGTCTGCTAACTTAGCCTAGCTAGGACTAAGCTTTGCTGCTGTCAAAGCAATTCTAATGTCAGGTGCTGAAGGAAGCGGAGTGAGGGTGACGTTTAGGAAGGCTGTGTATAACTGTGACAAGTAGAATTGCAAAGTATTGCATCGTTCATAATGTTTTATAAGTTGCTGGCACAACTAAACTCTGGGTACAGCATACTGAAGAGCCCCAGGAAACTGAAATACTTGCTTGCCTTGGGGCTGTTAGAGATGGAGGGACAGCTAACAGGCTGAGCAATGCCCAGAAGTCTTCCACTTTTACATTATTACATATACTGTGCTCCTCTGCATGGATTTGCATTTTACTTGTATTAACATATATACGTCTAAAGTAAAATGCTCTTGACATCTTACACATAATCACATCACTGAAGAAAACTGGTGCCTGTGTTTCTGTTACACCATTCCTAAAAATAGCAAGAAAATATCCATCATTTGATTACTCTTTATTTTTTTTTTTTCACCATTCTGATAGCAAATGAAACTGTCTATATTGTTGTTCACAATTTGGCCTAAATTCAGCCTAGATATTTATTCTTTCTGAGGCCTGACAATGCTCTTATTTACTCTTACTCTTGTATAGATATTGTTGATCATATATGACATAAACAAAATAAGAGCATTTTACACAGTCTTACCTACAAAGTTCTCTTTGTGTTACCACAAGCAAACATGCTAGTTGGGATCCCTGTCATTGCTGACCCGTGAGACCTCTTTTGACCATTTTTGTGTGCTATGCTTCAAGAAAACATGACCCCTGAGGAAAGAGAGAAGGAATTGGGTTGGTTTGTCTAGAGAGGAGAAGGCTAAGGGGAGACCTGACAGCAGTGTAACCTAAGTAGTGTTGAAGGCTGTGCAAAGAGTTGAAGGCAAAAAAACAGGATTTCCATGTCCGTGGGAGACTGAACACACAATATTAGACTTAAAGTGCATTTTCAATCTGGACATTAGAAAATGGTGTTGGAGTAGTATTAGGAATTACTATTTAGCAAAAAAAAGTGTAACACTTTAGTATGTTCTTGGGGGTAGTATAACACTGCAACACTTCAGCACTAGAAGTCTTTAAAAAGTGGCAATACAGCCATCTGCCAGCAATGATGGAGATGTAATTTATCCTGATGGAAAAAGGAATGGACTAGTTGAACTCTTGCAGTTCCTTCTGAGCCCTATTTTTTCTATTAATTTTATGTTGTTTGTGGGGATTTTGATTTTTTTTTTTTAAAGATATCCAACAATGTGCCTTCTAGTGCAGCAAATTATCTCATTATAAGCAGGAGAGAATTACTGTACAGCCAGACATCTTTTCTTGAAAATATTGGCACTCTGATCTTCAAGCATTCATCTGTAGATAGGTAAAGTTGTGAGGGCAGACTTATTTTGGATACATTATATTTAAATGTTCGTTATAATTCTGTAGCTCTCCAGCATGTTTTGCTGGTGGAAAAAGAAGACGAGGATATGCAGAAATCAAGTTGAGAGTATTGAGAAGCTTTATATCCAGTGAATGCTGGTGATACTAATTTTAAGCCATATATTTAGTAGAAACGGGAGAAAGCAACCAGTAAATAACAGCTTGTAAAGTAACTAAAGTACTTTTTCCTTGTGGCAGCTGCTAGCATATATCTCTTTCAAGGAGACAGAAGTATTGCCGAGTGGCAGCTGTTATTTGCTGGCTGACTAGCTGCTGTCATGTGTGTAAAATAGGCAACTTCCTTTCTCTTTTCTTGTCCTTCCATTCGGCAACATCTTTTCCTTCCTTCTGTTAATCCTGTCTTTCCTGTCATCACCCCTACCTGTTGCTGTTTTATAACCCTCCAAAATGAAAACTTGCATCTGACAGTAGAAGCCTGAGGTTTAGACTCTCTTTATTTTCCAAGAGCAAAGTAGGAAACAAGAAAAAACAGGAACTCAGCAGGGACCATGACTGCCATTACCTGAGATGTCACCGTATTTGCACAGCTAAACGGCCAGTGTTACATATCAAAACAGACATGCTCATTGTCTTCCTGTGTACAAGCTGGATGTATGTAGTCAGTAAAGGCCAATTGCAGTACAGATTTCAAGCAGTTTAAATTTACCTGAATTTTGTGCTAAGCATTAAAGTTACTTCAGAAAGCAGTAAAAGTATTAAAATGAAAGAAAAAAAATCTGAATGAGAAATCTATTTCCCAAAAAGTGGACTGGGAGATTGTTGTGAGGTCTTTTTTGCTGTAGTATGCTGTTGTTGTGTTGATATTCAATTCCGTATTATTGTGGTGGTATGCAGATGATGTATTCAGTATCCATTGCTGTTGCAGTGTTAAAATGTCATATTGTTTAGGTCTTCATCCATGTCATGTAGTATGTTGTGTGTAGTTAGATGTAATCGTCCTTTTTTGTGTTTGTCTTTTGCCTGATTGCTTTTGCAACCAATATTGCCCGTGCTGCCTCTAACCTTTATACAAATCTCTGTTCCCCAGGCATTCTCTTCCTGCTTTTACCTGTCACGGCTTGCTTTTAATAATTGGCAAAACCTGCATGATAAACTCACTGGGAAAGGCTACTTGCTTCATGCTGTGGGAGAAGTCTCACTTCATAGTTTGTCGGTCTGTAATTCTGCAAACTGAAGATGCACAGTTTTTTGTAAATGGGGGTTCTCAACATCCTGATGAGACAAAGGTGATCTCTGAGAAACTTTTTGCACCAGGTTGTCACTCATGCCAAACTAAATAAGCTTCTAAGGTGGAGTGGATATTTCTGTGCATAAAAAGAACATCCACATTGCATTTTGTAACATTGAAATCTTACCCTTCAAAATTCTCTCTCTCCAGCAGTTTAAAATGAAATCTTTTGGTCTGCAGTACATATCCTTTTTTGGCACATGGTACTGAATGTTCATGGGGACTGCATACTGGACTACATGAATAATGAATCAGATACAGTTTATTGCAGTACGCTCCATTTTTACCTTTCCCCAATTTAACCTCTCTCTGATTAGTAAAAGTATCACACTGACATTTAGTGTGAGATTATGTAAAAAGAATTTGACTAAATAAATGGAACATTGATGAGATACTCTTTTGCTCTGCACTTAAAGACAGAAGAACAGCAATATATGACTGCAAGTTACCAATACACATTCAATGTTCAGTGCAGCCAGACAAAACATAGACTCTCATCTTTGACTCATGTTATAAGAGAACTCCCTTTAAACTTTCAGAGGACTTGCTGTCCTCAAGAAATTAATCTGCTCCCATGCAAATCTCTGCAATTCTTCTGTTTTTAATAACGTGCAAGTGCCTTTTGATACAAAGCTGAATGTTGTCTCTGTTACGGGTGGAATCTGTTTCAAGAAAGAGAATTGTGTGATACATCATGTTTCTGACTACAGATCAATAAAGAAAAATGTTCATACATACAAGTAAAGAGAAGAGGGGAGATACGGTGCCAG